TATATATATATATAAATAATTAATAATGCAACATTTGATTTTTCTGAAACCTTGAAATTCTTTACAAAAATGTATCTATGGATGTAGAAATAACAACGAAAAACCATTAATCAGAATTTATTTATCTTTTTATCAAGAAACAAACAACAAGCTGCCCAAGGCCAAAGAATTATGTACATGTATAATTACACTATTTGTGTGTTGAAATCTAGTTAACTTGTCATCATAGCTTTGAACTCATCAAAGTTGAGAACTCCATCTCCATTGATATCAAATCTCTGAATCATAGCTTTGCAGTTATCAATGGAAGTTGACTCACCGAGTCGACTCAACATCATCTTCAAGCTCTTAGGAGTAATGTAGCCACTCCCCTCCATTTCATACATTCCAAATGCTCCTATCAATTCACTCTCCTTATTTCTCTCCTCTTCCATTCCTTCCATTAGTTTTGTAAAATCCTCCAAACCCAACAATCCATCCCCGTCGGAATCCGATAGCCTCACCGCCATCTCCGCCTCCTCCACCGTCAGTTCGCCTCCTACCGCCTTCACACACCTCCTGAGCTCAGCCGGTGACACTTTTCCATCTCCATTCTCGTCAAAGTATGTAAATACCCTCTCTAACTCGCCACTATTATTACTTTTGCTACTACTACTCATCGAAAGACAATCAGTAGTAATAGTTGTTGTTGTTGTCATCGTCGTTGCCTTTTTGAGTGAAAACCTCTTCCTTAATCTTGAGAATGTTGACTTATTTTCAGCACTAGGTACAAAAATTTACTTAGTAGTACACATGCTAACAACCACGTTTTTTTAGACTCTCTTATATTTCAAGATTGTTTGAGATGTAAGTAAGAATACGAGTAGTAAGTTGTGAAAAGGGTTGAACTTGAAACAAAGAAAACTTGTGAAAGTTCTGGTTAAAAAGCACTTGAAAAACAACAAAGGATATGTGGGATGAAGAAAGAAGAATGGGATATTTATAATAAACAGATTAGTATGTACTGGGCTGAAGAATGAACAAGAAGGAAAGCAGAAAGTGGAGTCGGCATATTCCGTGGGCTTACCACGTATAGAAACTTGTACGGCGTTTGCTTCTGGAAAAATACAAAAATATATAGAAGATTGAAAAGTAAACGACCAACACGCTATGAAAGATGACAATGATGCGAGAATAAGTTTTTGCAATGTGGGATAATCCTTATCTTGAAGTCAAAATTGAGGCTTTTAAATATAGAATATTCTTATTAAATTGAATTTGTTATGCATCTCTTCCTTACCATATTTCGTTTATTGTTTTAATAATATTTGGTGTAAGTGGTGCTGAACTAAAAACTATATTGGGCATATTGTTTCTTGTTTATTAGTGCACCTTTTTACCATTCTTTTTGGTCTAAGGAGTGAGGTGAGACAGGAGAATTTTGAACTATGACATGTCTTCTATGTAACAAAAAGTTTAATGGTCTTAACGTTTAGTTATCTGTATGTAGATTCTTTTTCATTTCTAGTTTTATCTATTTAACGCATATCTACTGTTTTTTTTTTCTATTTTTCTTTTGAAAAATATACTACATTTTGAGTTTTTGTTCGGGCGTACCGGTACGAGGAACTTGGGTTGAGTGGAATGAGTAGAAATAGGGCAAAAATCAATTTTAGTCCACGGTCAAAATATTTATATTTGATAGCCGTAAAAGTGTTTAAAGTTTAGTATATTTTTTTGTATATAACACACACACACACACACACACATATATATATATATATACATATATTTTTTTACTATTATTTTGAGAGTGACTACACATTATCATTTTCCTGTAGAAATATTCCTCAAACTTTGATGAGTAATTTCCAGTTGATCGGGTGAACGCATAATACGGGTTCATCTGAACTCAGTACTTTTGATGCGAATTATAATTTTATGTATAAATTTCCTTAAAATCGTAAGTAACGGTAAATATGAACTTATAACTTTAAAATTACATTAGGTTTAATGCTAGTAACTCTAAAAGTTGAATACATAGAACTTGAATGTTGACTAATTTTGATGTGTGTAATTATAAGGCAAATCACATGTACCATGTTAAATAATTGATTGACAGGAACCCATTTTCATACTTCCAACTCCTATGACTTGGAAATTCATGTGATTTGATCTCAACGTTATACCATTGACATCTTTGAAGTCAATTATTATCTGTATACTCCTATGCATTCGCAGGTGCTTAGGATAACGGCTAGACAAAGGGCGCATGGCTAATTTATTCTTTATATAAATAATAACGCAACATTTATCCTTTGTTTTTTTTGTAAATCTTTATATAATATGAAATATATTTGGTTTCCAATATTAAGTTCTAAAGTATTAATATTGGTATAATTTAAGCTGTCCACGTACTTTTAAATACAGAACAAGAATCGCATGCTAGCAATATATTTATAAGAGTATGTCAAGATAAAAATGCGCATATGTTAGCTAAGCCACCAAGTAAAAATAAAAGCTTCAAAAATGGGATAACACAAAGTTGGAGGATGATGTTTGGCCATAATTCTATATTTTTAGTACATTACTCGCCTTATATATTGTTACTTTAGTGGTTAATTGTATGATATTTGAGCTAAATTATATTATTTTATGTGTAGGAGCATCGAAAGACAAAGACGAGTGAAGGTTGCACGAAAAGAGAGCAAAAATACAAGAAAATAGCATAACAACACACGAAGTACCCAAGCATAGTGCAAGCCAAGCATCGCCAGCTCTATAGCACGCTGCTCCTCGCTATAGACCTCGCCCCGCCTGGCTTATTAAGACGAGCTCAACTTGGCTTAAGGCCGGGTCCCCAGTCCGCGAATAAATTATTTCCTAATCAATTTTGGACTTGCAGACTTCTATCTTAGCCTATAAATACTCCCTAAATATGTCTAAGAAGGAGGTTGGACATTTTTGAGAGGGGATTCGACCTAAGAAGGCAAGAACACACTAGGAGCAAAGTGGAGAATTCTTCTACGAATGTTTCACTGTCTTCTTCTAATTTTTCATTATTGGTTATGAATTTTAGTATTTTAGTTTTACATACTATTATGAATAGCTAATGTGTTATCTCAGATTTTGATGAAACTTTTTGTTGGATAAATTCTTGTTATATTTTTATATAATTGAACCGTTGGATTTTTCTACTTGTTCAACTATATGTTTATTGTTGTTGATCTAATGGTCATCAATTGATTGTGCCTATTTAGTGTGTATTGCTTGGAAAATGGTACACAATTAGGTAGTTGTTGAATAATATCACTCCTAACGTATATGAGGAATCAATACGGAGGGTTTAAATGTGGGATTAGAAATAACGAAACCTTGGTGTGATCTTAGTGAGCGGTGAACTGTCAGCTAGCATAGTTCGGAAGAATACGTCTAGTAAATTGTGGTAGCTGCTCGGAAGAGAATTACGACACCCGAAGTACTCACGATCGGTAGAGAATACTTAGGCGATATTATAGGAGAGATAGCGGGAAGGATTCCGACAATTGGAAAAATCATAACTTTAAGCCTCCTTAATCTTGTCTCCAACCCTTAGTCTTGTTAGTTGATAATTTTAGTGCTTTTAGTATTTGTTATTAATTAGTTTAAAATAAAAAAAATTACAATCTTTATAGCTAAAAAATTATTTGAACTTGTATTTTTTTTAGCAATATTGAACAGTTGTAGCTAAGTATTAGTTCTATTTGGGATTCGACTTCGAACTTTTAGGCCGGATTATATTTGCAACGACCGCTTAATCCTTTGCGAGATTAGAGGCCCCTTGGTATTACAAGTTATGAAAATGAATCTATGGAAGTATAAGTAACAACGGAAAACCATTCATCAGAATTATATTTTGAGCTCAAGAATCATTTTATCCTTCTATTAATTAAGAAACAAGGCCAAAGAATTATGAACATATACAAAAAGTATATTTGTGTATTTTAAATTCTTGTTAAGTTGTCATCATAGCTTTGAACTCATCAAAGCTGAGAACTCCATCTCCATTGATATCAAACCTCTGAATCATAACCTTACAGTTGTCAATGGAGGTTGACTCACCGAGTCGACTCAACATCCGCTTCAAGCTCGTAGGAGTAATGTAGCCACTCCCTTCCATTTCATACATTCCAAATGCTCCTATCAACTCACTCTCTTTATTCCTCTCCTCTTCCATTCCTTCCATTAGCTTTGTAAAATCCTCCAACCCCAACAATCCATCCCCGTCGGAATCCGATAACCTCACCGCCATTTCCGCCTCCTCCACCGTCAGTTCGCCTCCTACCGCCTTCATACACCTCCTTAGCTCAACGGGTGAAACCTTGCCGTCTCCGTTCTCGTCAAAGTACGTAAATACCCTCTCTAACTCGCCACTATTATTGCTTCTGCTACTACTACTCATCGAAAGCCGATCAGTAGTAATAGTTGTTGTTGTTGTCGTTGCCTTTTTGAGTGAAAACCTCTTCCTTAATCTTGAGAAAACAGACTTGTTTTCAGCACTAGGTACAGAAATTGATTCCATAGTACACATGCTAACAACCAAGTTTAGACTACTCTTTCTTGTTCAAGATATATAGTTTGAGATGTAAGTAGGATAAGTTGTGAAAAGGGTTGAACTTGAAACAAAGAAAACTTGGGAAATTTTTATGGTCAAAGGTCTTGAAAAACAACAAATGATATGAGTATGAAGGAAGAAGAAGAATGGGATATTTATATGGAACATTAGTTTGTGAGCTGGGGAATGTGGGGGGAAGGGGAGCAGAAAGTGGTAGTTAGTGGCAACTAAAATATGACGGTCCAAAAGTCGGCATTTTCCGTGGGCTTACCACGTATAGAAACTTGTACGGCGTTTTGTTTTCTAGAAAAATACAGAAATAGGTTCTTACAAGTTTGAAAAGTAAAAGGGAACACGCTATGAAAGATGACAATTATGTGAGAAAGAGCTAAGTTTTGGGATAAGTCTTATCTTGAAGGCTAACAGTGGATATAATATCTAAATTCATCTAATGTCATGCGAAATTGAGTTTTTTTAACAAATAGAATGTCGTATTTGAATTTGACATGCATCTCTTCTTTCCCGTGTTTCTTACCCTCTTTATTTTTTTTATAATAAAATTTTGGCGTAGGTGGGGCAGAACTATGGTTTGTGTTTTTGTTCTGTAAAACTAAAACCAACATTTGGCATATTATTTCTTGTTTGTTATCCCTCCGTTTTAATTTAGATGAGTAATTTGACTTGACACGAAATTTAAGAAAAAGAATAAGATTTTTAACACTTGTGGTCTTAAAAGGTTAAGAAGTAAAAACTTTGTGGGGCCATGATATTTGTGTGGTTATAAAAACTTCTCATTAAGGGTAAAATGGGTAAAATGAAGAGTTTAAAGTTGAATTATTTCCAAATTTAAAAATATGTCATTTATTTTGAAATATACTCAAAAGAAAAGTAACTCATCTAATTTGAAACGGATGGTGTACTTGTTAGTATCTTTTTACCTTTCGTTTTGGTCTAAGGAGTGAGGCGAGGTAGAAGAATTTTTAACCATGACATGTCTTCTGTGTAACGAAAAGTTTAATGGTCTTTGCGTTTAGTTTTCTGCAGATTTTTTTCCATCATTCAAGTCTAGTTTAGTTCTATAGTACTACTGTTCTTTTTATTTTTTGCTGAAAATTTTAAATGTAATACTACTTCCCTTGAACGTTTTATTTGGCGTATTGGTACTAGGAATTTGGGTTTGGGTGGAATGAGTAGAAATATTTCTCAATTTTGATGAGCAATTTCCACTTACTACCTGATATTAGGAGAAGTGACACTGGGGGCTTTTAGTTCTAGAAAGTGACAACTATTAACTTTAATGATTGTCAAGGGACATTACAGTTAATTGATCTCAACAATGAAGCTACCTTTTAAAATTTGAAACTTGATACTTGCCTGACATTTAAATAACTGTAAAAATATGAAAGTTCTCATCAGCCTAATCTTATTTAGGAAATGTTAGTTTGAGTGTCCGTATGGATTACTAAAGAACTTGGTTATTTATCGTGTTCCTTAAGCGTAAAGTAAACAAGCAATAAAACGAATATATTGATTTTACGTGAAAAATCACCCGGCTCAAAAGGTGCAAAAATCACGACCTACCACGTAGGATTTTCAACTCCAACTCCACTAAAATAATGAGCCAAAATATATTAATTATAAGACTGTAGTTAAATATTCTCTAGTACTCCTACTACTCCTATTAGATTCACAAGTTACTCTAAAGGCTGATGATCCAATATTGTCACTCTAAATGTATCAATTACAAGCTTAAGAAAAGGCAAATAGACTAGGCTGATGATCCAATATAGTACAAAGCAATAAAACAGAGCAATAGGAGAAATTAAGTAGTGCCAAAAGAAGCCTAGGGCCTTGTCTTCATCATTAGAATAAAATAAACTAAGCATACTGCAAACTACTTAGACTTAAGACAAAAGGAACAAAAGATAAGGCATCAATGGAATATCAAAAGAACTAAGGACACTGGGAAGGAACATGTTCATGGGTGAGCAGCAGAGGGGGTCAAAGCTTTCACAAGGGTGTCAATTTGTTGAGCATGAGCCTCCCTATCTCTTCTGAGCTCTTCCTTGAGTTGCTTTGTTTCCTTTCTCAGCTCATTATTGTCTTCATGATGCTTGGCATTCTCTTTAACAGCCAACTTCAACCTTTTGCTGAGCTCTGCAGCCTTACTGCTCTCAGGTAGAATAGCAGATCTTGTGGGTCCTCTAGCCTTGATATCCTCATACCCACACTGCTTGAGGGTAACAACATCCAAAACGTCATTGTGGTTTTTAAACTTAAGCTCAGGCAAGGCAATGTTGAGCTTGTCAAACATCCTAGTCAATATGAAACCATATGGCATATCATGCTTGGGTTTGGAAGTATCTGCAGCTCTTTGTATGTGCTGAATCATCAGGCTAGGGAGATTGATAGGTCTACCAGTGTCAAACAGCTTCATCATAGCCATATCCAGCAGAGTAGCTTCATGCCTTCTCTCAGACCTCTGAAGAATGCAGGAATTGACAAAATAAAATAATAATTTGTGGAAGGGAGTCATATCAGTCTTGTACACTTTCTAGGGAGCATCTAGTTCAAACTTTTGGGAGAATTTCCTGGTGACCACAATGCTAGTGTCAACTATGGCTGTCCAACGGGATGGGACTGGACGAGATAAAATTAACGAGACGGGACGATATTTAGCCGGGATGGTGGCGGGACGGGACGGGACGAAATGGGATGGGACATACGGGACGAAACGGTAGGCCCGTCCCGTCCCACTAACAAACGGGATGGGACGGGACGGGTTCGCGGGCCTTAAGTGCCGTTTTAAAAAAAAAATTTTATTTAAGCATTAAGCTTGGCAATGGCTAGTTTTTTGACAATAAACTTAAAAGATAAAAGGAAATTAGGAAACTAAGTAAAGAATTATAAAATATTAAAACAAAAAACTTGTAATGAAATATTCTAGTAATTATAAATTTATTGTAGAGTTATAATATATTTAATATCATTTTAAGCCATTAAGTAACTAAGTAAGAGTGTAAGACAATTCATAAAAATAATTCAACGCTTAGAGCCTTTTATTTTATTAATAGAACTTTCAAATCTCACATACAAATATAATTCTATTGAAGAACACCTAATCTACGCAGCCACCTTCTAGGAAGGGTTCTGTTTGAACTAGGCCTCTTAGTAGCCAATTACAAATTATCATGCTAATATTTGTAAGCTCATATATAACTTCGTTGTAACTTATCTATAATTTCTCTCGGACATTGTTCTAGAATTGGCAATGTTGATTGATGTTCCATGAGTTCCATGCCGTCATCGCTCCGAGTGCTAAGTATCTCATTGTATTCTTCTTCTTCCCTAGTTGTTAATTTTTCAAAACCAAGATTTTTTCTTTCTGAATTAATCCAATCTATAAATAATACGGAAATCTCTAGGCTGTCCTCCGCTAATGAATGCCTATGATTTCCGATTTAAAATCTTGCCACGCTAAAAGTACTCTCTGATGCTACTGATGATGCTTGAATAGCCAGACCGAGATTGACTCTGAGTTGGAGCTTGTGTTGCAGGACTGGTGGGTATTTCATCTAATTCTTCTTCCTCATTTTCTTCATCCTCATTTTCTTCGTCTTCAATAAAAATATCATTGCCAAATTATCTTTGTAAAGTTTCATGATCTAGTTGTTCTCCGAAATTAATATTATAACATGCGGGGGGTTAGAAAAATGAAGTTTCATCAACATGAGTCATTTTATCTATATGTTTTCTAATTCTAGGAGAAGGGTTAGGATTAGGATTACTACTACTTTTACCTTTGCTACTTTTTTTAACTAGTTTTTTTAAATACGCCAAATACATTTTTAGGTACCATAATTTAAATACGAAATTAAATTTAAATAGTTAACACAAAAATTAAAAATACAAATGAAATACGAAAATAGAACACGTAAAGTAAACACAAAAATTAAGCACTAAAATGATGCGCAAAAATTATATATTAAAATTAGGAGATGGAACGAGTGCACCTTGATTAAATATTGAAACTTGAAGAAATTGCCCAAACTATTACTCCAAATACTTGACGAATTAATTTGAAAGTTGCTCCAAATATTTGTNATATAATGTAAGAGATTTGAGAGAGAATGATTGATTTTTATGGGAAAAAATAAAGAAGGATGGGGGTATTTATAGTAAAAAATAGGGCCAAAGTGTAATTTAATAAATTTAGGAGTTATATTAAAAGTATGGGGGGTAGGGGTGTTTTGGGGGGATGGGGACAAATATGGCCTTTTTTGACCGTTGGGAACAACTATTTTTGCAATTGAAGTCGTTGCCCAACGACTATAATTCAAAAAAAATAAAAAAGGACACGGGACAGGACGGAACGGGATAAACGGGATGAAATAGCCATCCCGTCCGATCCCGTATCCCGTTTAACATGGGCCCATCCCATTTAGAGTTAAGTGGGACGGGACCGTTGGACAACCTTAGTGTCAACATCATTGTCTGTGGCCGGCCACTTCTTCTTCAAGTAATTTCCAAATCTCAAGGAAGAGATATTCAGAAGCATTCCCAGTTCCTTAAAATCAGAAAGATTATCATTAGCAATTTTTAATTCCTTTTCAAGCTTATCCTGCAGATCACTCATTTTTCCTTTGCCATGTATATCAGGAGACTTCTCATTCTCAGAAGTAAGCTCAAGAACCTGGTTCTTAAGGTCTTTGACCTGTTTCTCTAAACTAGCTTTGTCAGATTCAAGCTATTTGATATCAAATTTGACACAAAAAATGTTGCTTATTAGCTTATAATTTCCAGTACTCATTTTATCCATTTTATTTATTAAGGTCACAATTATGGCCATCAGTTATTTTTTGGACATAGCATGAATATTTTCTTTCAAGTCAGACATACTTACATGATTTGCTTCATCTTCAGTTTCTAAATCACTCATGGCCATCATTCCTATCACTTCTTCCTCTGTTTTGGATTCTTCAATCGCCATCAAATCCACTTTGATGTTTTCATTTCCAAAGTCAGTTTCCAAGGTTCTCCATATATCATGAGCAGAGATGCAAGAGGACACTCCGAGGAGAGTGTTTCTAGACAGGCTTCTGTAGAGCAGGTCCTTTGTTTTAGTATTTTTCTGAAC